AGATAGGTATAAATAGTCCTTAGATTTGAAGTCATCACGATTGTCTCATTAGAGGATTTATGCACTTTGACACTCGTTTCGATGGACCTATTAAAAGATTGCACGTGGTCAATTTATTGGGTGCTCTAGGAATCTAATGGAGGTAGGTGTATGACTAAGATCGGACATGTTATTCCTTGTATGCTAAAGGAGTTATCACATTGTACTTCGATAAATGTACGCTCGAAAAATATATGATCACGGTAGGAGTACATTAATAGAGCATAGTTGGTTTCCTTTAAGAGCTATGACATTTAAAAATTGAAGAAAACTTGTGTGATCATAACTGAACAAAACTTATAACCAAGTTCGAGATCACACTTGTGACAAGTTGACATGAAGACTGAATTATATAATAACCATGCTCGTGAAAAATAATAATAGATTAATTAATCCTCCTAAAGAATTGGATAATCACGATGCCTTACTAGAGGCTAATCTTGATTTATGTATCAAGAGATAAAAAAAGATGAGTCTTTTATTCTTGATACATCACCAACATATCTAGGAACCTATTGAGTTACACGCGAAGTTTAAGTAGTCACATGATGAATGAGAAGCAAAGATATTGAAAAAAAGTTTTCAATTTTGAAAGCTTCCTATTAAGAAAGGGTTTTCAAAATGTAAAGTTTCCTAAAATAGAAAGTTTCCTTAATTAGGAATTTCCTAAAATAGAAAGTTTTTTATTTTAAAAATCGGTTTCCTAATTTGGAAGTTGGTTTCGAATTCAGAAATAAATAACTTAAAATGAAAATGAGTTTCCTAATTTAGGTTAAAGGGTATTTTGAAAAATTGCTTCCTAATGTGGACCAACCTAAAATAATCTAAGATTATTTATTTGGATAGTCCAAATAAATTAATTGGGTTAGAATAGTTTTGGCCTATTATGTTTAATTAAATGTCTTAAGATATTTTGATGGGAGGATAAGCATCAACCTTATTGGATAAGGATGAATGTTTTAAAGATAAAGATTAAAAAGTCCATATGTAAAAATAACTCCTAATTCTTGGAGGATAAAGAAACAATAACCTAGAGTCTTTAAGGGACTTATTGTCACCCTTCTCCTTGTCCTTGGAGGACAAGAAAACTATTATATATATATATATATGGGGGGACGAGAGGTGTGGCACATAAAAGAAAGAGAAGAAAAGAGAGTTTCGACGGAATTGAAAAAGGCCACTAGGGAACACGATAAGAAAAAAAAAAGGAACAAAATAGTTTTCTCAAAAACCCTAGCACACCACACTCTTTCCTTCTCCTTTAAGGTTGTCAAAAAATTGCTTAAAATAGATTTCTATAAGAAACACTACACAAATCGGAAAAGATGGAGCTAGCATCCTATCGATTTTGAGTGCTTCTTTATGGGTACTTGATTTGCGTGGATCATCAATAGAGGTCGAACACTTGGACGACTTTTCTATTAAAAGAATTTAGATCTACACTAAAAAAGGTAATTCTTTATTCATTGCTTTAAATTCATGCATGTATGGTTAGTGGATTCAGCAGCTTGATCTTGGGCCCTTAGATAAAATAAAATTTGTATTTATTTCGCACCTCCATAAGATGCATGATCCTTCAATGTGAATCGAAGTTGTTGGTGACTTTCTATTTATATGGACAAAATTGCCGATGACTTTATGTTCGTGTCAATATAGGCTCTCAACTTCTAGAGACTCATCTATTTGCCAATATAGACTTGCAATCGCTAGGGGTTAGCTAAAATTTTAACTTTTATCTCTATTTTTTATATGTACTTGCAATCGCAAGGACTCGTCGTTTTTGTTTATGTGAATGATTTTTGATATAGATTATATTCATAAGGAACTCGCCACTTATATGTTATTTGAATGATTTTTTTTTTTTTTTTTGTGAATTACGAAGTCACCGGTAACACCTCCACACACACACACACACACACCTCTCTAATTAAGTGAACCGAAGTTGTTGGTGACTTTTTATTTATATGGATGAAATTGTCAATGACTTTATATTCGTGTTAATATGGGCTCTTTACTCCTAAAGACTCGTCTATTTGTCGATACGGATTTGCAATAGCTAGGGGTTAGCTAAAATTTCAACTTTTACCCCCATTTTCCCTCTAGAGTATTGGTATAGGCATTTGACCAGACCTAAATCCCAAATTACTTGGATCGATTTATTTCAACAAAATAAATTCACTCAAATATATATAAAGCATAACATAGCAAGACCGGACTTTAGTTTTCACATATATACAAATGCAACCTACCTCGGATAGAACAAGATTGTGATGATGTTAATCTTCTTCATGCATAATTGACTCATTACCTAGATATTTTTGGATCAATTTATTTTAGGATTTCCTAGTTCTCTCCAGATAATTAAGTGGCAATTCTAACCATATGTGGCCCCAGTTGATAAAAGATAGAGGTTGTGAGCTTGGGTTTTTATCTATGGAGGTTTTTCTTTCTTAATGTGAATGGTGGAGAAAGTGCTTTCTCTCACTAGGTTTTTTCTTGGAGAAGAAGATGAATGAAAAATGGCTCCCGTATACACCACGAGAGAGAAGAATAGAGGATTTTATAGTGAGGGTTAGTTAAGATTTTGTGTATTTCTACATTGGCTTTTACTTTTTCTCATTTTTCTATATTTGAACCTTATGGCTTCTCTCTTTCTTTCTTTGTATTTTCAAATGGCAAGCTCTTTAATTGAATCCCTAATTCAATTATTTTTTTTGTCCAATTTCTCGGATTTAATCTATTTGGCCTAGAATTCTCAATTTCAACTTATTTTCTTCTCTTGTTTATTTCTTCCTTCTTTTTTTGGTCTTTTTGTTAATTTTTCTAAACTATGTGATTCTTAAAAAAATCCTAACCCAAAGATGAAAAATTGCACAATCAAACAAATTACATTTAATTTTCACATTTTTATTTTTTAAAGAAAAATATATATAAAACAAAGAGGTTAAAAATTGGATAATAACAATTATATATTACCGAATTTTAAAGAAATGATATATGGTTTATATTAAATATCGAACTGTTGAATGTTTTTGCTTTTTTCTTTCAAATGCTAGTTCAAGTTCTTTTCTCTTTGTCTCCAATTGTCATTGGTTATTGGTCTTTTTTTCTTTTTCTTTTTTCCTTCTTTTGATCAACTAGAATTCGATTTTTTGTGTTAAATTAATTTATCATATTCGCAATAAGAGACTTTGAATAATTTGCACTCAATTTTCAATCAAATGACTTTTGTTCAAGTCATAGAATTTCTAATAATTTAATAATACCAATGCTGTAGTTGATGGCGATCACATGCAATGTGTTGAGCAGCACTGCTAGCATTCCAGGAAGAATCGACCAATTAGGAACATATCTTGCTAAGATCAGACTTTGGTGGTGGCTAATTTCTTGCCATTTATCATTTTTTGCATTTGCTATTGTACCATTGGTATTTTGTTTTCAAGTAATGGCTGGATGTTGCACAAGCTCATGTCCTTGAGGGGGTGGCTCTAAGTTTGTCTGCTAATAATAATGTTTGTTGTTTCGGACTTTGAAGCTCAAGCAAGTTTGTAATTTGTTCTCATTATTTTAAATTTGATTTGATTAATAGATTTTGAAAGAGTTCCATCATTCAAACAATATTTACTTTAAAAATAATAATAATAAATAACTCAATTTGCATGTTTTTTATTGTAAGTCTTGAACTTGTAGATGTTTGATTTGCCACATTTCTTGCTTTATTGTACACTAAACTTTTCAAATAACAAGAGATGCATATAAACAATTAGAACAAACATTGAAAATGATTTGAAGAAATTTTTTTATTAATGTTTCAATTGATCAAAATTTTGCAACCTATAATTTAGATGTTGATCAAGGTATAAAAAGATACCCGTGACAGCATGCGGGTAAACTAGCTAATGAATTTCTGAAGATAAATCGATTGCACTAAGAACATTATTAAAAGATTTCATTTTTAATCAAATACAAGTATCACATTTTCAGCAATCATTTTTAAAAATAGAGTTAAAAATTTGTGTCGTCTCTGTACTACAAGTAATTATTTAATCAAGTTCATGTATCAAATTAAGTTTTAATTAAGTTTCTATACTGAATTAATTTAATTAAGGTGAATCATTTGTTAGTCCAAAATTTAAGTTATTGGCATAATCAAACAATAAGTCTCCTTTAACCATTGATCCTATTAAATTTTTTTCTCATTTTTAATATTTAAAGCATTTATATAAAATAAAAACCTAAAAATTTAACTCGTATAAATATAATTTTTATAAAACTTTAAGAAATAAAAAATAGGAAAAAAAAACATTGAGATCAACGGCCAACAGGCATTGCTTGATTATATGATCATTTTACCGTCATTAACCAAATCAATAACTAAAAATTCACATTAAACAAATTAATTCAGTTAAAAAAATAAAATTAGCGCTTAAATTGATACAAAAAATTATTAAACAATTGCTTGTTAGTAAACGAATAGTACCAATCTTAACCCTTTTAAAAATTATATCATTGTTTTTTTATTTAAAAATGGGTTTGGGTTCGAAGTGCTTTTAAGCTAAAATCACTGGTAATCATAACACTAAAATCACGTCTGAGGAACTCACCACATATGGCAGCTCCAATACTTCTTTTTTTTCCCCGGAAAAACAAATCAGAACAAAAGAATCATACCATGCTCTTAACTAAAAGAAGCAAACAAGTTATATCATACTGGATCCCGCAAATTGAACTTGTAATAAGTTTACTTCACTAAAATTACAAGAGAGAATGAACAATTCCCTCCCATGCTTCTAATCAAGTTTGTACCATGAAAATTACTACTCCATACAAACACACAAAAACAAGGAAATTATCGGTGCAAATAGCAGTCAGGAATCAGCAATTGAACAGCCAAAAGTTTTGCAAAACAATAATGCTTCAAATGCGGTTGGTTTCCATCCAATCCTGCCATCGCCCCTGTCCTAAGCAACACAACCTCCACACACAATGCTCCTGCAGTTGATAGAAGAACTAGCGTATTTAGTGGAGAAAATTTTTAAGATGTTGAAGCTAGTGGAATTTGAATCATTTTAGGGGAATATCACAGATTCAACTTTTAGATGGCCATAGTGATGAAAAAGAAGCCCATGAATGCGCATGAGTCACTAACATTATGGTTGACCCCAAAACAAATACTAATATATTTGTTTTAACAATAAAGTTATCTTGGGCTAACTTTTCATAACGAGATTACTTCACTCCCATGTCGGCCCCTTGGGGGGGGGGGGGGGGGTTGGGGTTGGGGTTGGGATCACATTCAAAAGAAACTATTTGCTTGTCGCAGGTAACATGGGGAGGCAAACTCACTTACCAACTAGGCTGAGCCTCCAAGAGTTTTTACTTTAATATTTCAAGCAAACTAAGCAACTCATCCAGTTTATACAATTGCATTCTCAATGACACCGCAATACATTTGAGCAATAAGAGATGTAAGAATGAAGTACTAACACAATAGCGCAACCAGAACTTCGACGCCTTTTCTTCCTTGCCATCTCCTTCCTCCTTGGAGGTTGAAGAACAACCTTGATTGCAGTATCAAAAACAGCTTTGACATTCTGAATTATCAACCAGAAATCATTTTATGCACTAATCATCGTAAAGAAAAGAAAAAATGGGCCTTCAAGGCACCATATAAACAATTTTCAAAGTTTAAATCGCCTAAGCAATCTACCTGCTGTGTCTTAGAGCTGCACTCAAGATATGCTGCAGCACCAATCTGTTTCCTCAGCTCCTCTCCCTATTCACCATAAGCCTTTTCAGCTATTTTACAACCCAAAGGAAAATTTTCTCTGAAAAATAAATTCACAATTGAAGCCAAAAATCATCAATACATACCTGAGCAGATGTTATGACATTAGAATTCATATGATCAGCTAGATATCCTCTGTCTTCACGAAGATCTGTAACAGATAAAAGATTAAAAATTGGTTAAATACACAAAAAAACATGATCATTTCTAGTTTCTGAAGTTGCTTACCTAATTTCGTTCCAACAAGAACAATCGGAACATTTGGTGCAAATCGACGCAGTTCAGGCATCCACTGAAAAATCAAATTGGATGGAAAGCCTCAGTTATTGATGTGTTGAGACATATAATTTATAAATTAAGAAACAAAAAGCTCCCTGCTTGATGAAACTGGCCCAATTAAATATCAGTAAAAGTTCTAGAATACGGGAATTACATTAATGTCAGGCGAAGCGCAGAGTAAAACACCATACACAAAGCTTTAATTTGAAATGAAAAGTTTGAAACACTTTTTTTCAAGCATGATCTAAAAATATCCACAACAATTGGAAAGTGAAAGTAGTAAGGACATCAGCATTAAAGTCTGTACCTTCTTTAGAACATTTTCATAACTTGCCCTGCTAATTAATGAGAAAGCCAACACAAATATATCTGCGCCTCTGTAACTGAGGGGCCTCAGCCTGCTGTAATCCTCCTGACCTTAAATTAAGATTAAGTTGAAGTAATTAGTCATCAATAAAGTACCAACCAGAACTTAGCAACAGACTCTAAAATTATGACAAGCAACAAGAACTTAAATAGGCTTGGTTTATGTGGAAATCCAAATACCTGCAGTATCCCACAGTCCCAAATTGACGATGCTCCCATCCACAGCCACATTAGCACTAAAATTATCAAACACAGTGGGTATGTAATCCTAGCAAGAGCAAACGAGAAATATGGGTCTGTGAGGGAAAGATATAATTTTACAGGCATGACTGACCAAAGGCTAAGAGAACATCTTCAATGACACTTACTGAAACCCTGACAAATATATAGAAGAAGATGCAAAAACCAACCCCAAAAAATGCAATCTTTAAATGAACCCATATGGAGAAATGACATAAGAAGTCATAAATAGAAGCAATTAAAGCAGCGAAGCCAAAAGAGTGAGAAAGAAGGGTTTTTGATGTCAAGTGGTTGAGTGGGGTGGAGGTATCTTAAAGAAAAAGATTACTTACAGTAGGGAACTTGTTGCTGGTATAACAAATGAGCATGCAGGTTTTGCCAACAGCTCCATCTCCAACTGTAACACATTTAATGAACTTCGAAGCACTCATATCCTCTTAAAACTGATGACAACTTGCACAGTAACTCTTCTTTAGCAACAGCAAAGAGAGTTTGGGTATATTAAACTCTCCAAAAAGTTGAGTTAAAGAAAAAGAAAGATGCTTAAGATGAAAAAGTTGAACAGAAGACGTTAAAAAGAAGTAGTAGTTTTTGTTGCAGAAGAAGAAGAAGCGAAGACAAGGGCCGTGCGTGTGAGCGTGTCTAGAAATGTGGAAAGCTGAAGTTATGATATCCAAGAGGTCTTTCTATTAGTTCTCTCTTAGCTTGTGTTAAAAAACATTAAAAAAAAAGGCAAATTGTTTTGGTTTGAGAGAGCGAGGGGGAGAGGGTTATTGTCTGTAGTCAAAGGTCCATTGCACTTTATTGTCCCTCTCAATAAATTTCAAATCCAACAGAAATATTTTTTGAAATGCAGAAAACTGGGTCCTACCCTCAAACGGCACCTATATTACCCCTGCCCTTTGCATGGATTTGTTGGCTTCCAACTATAAAGTCACATCTATACCCAAAAACAACAAAAGAAAAACAACTATGTGCTCGCATGATTTATTGCTGGATTTGACACGTATGACGGTGAATCAGTGGGCCAAGAACTTAAGTAAATAGTGGTAGGCGTACATAACATTGGAGAGACTATAATACCAACATTTGAGCATTGGCGAAACGCCTTCGTTTTCAAGAACTTTTGGACTTGGATACAAATAAATAATTTAGTGCTCTCATGCCCATTCGCATTATATCAATACTAAAACATGGATACTTATAATGCACCTGGTAATTCAAAAAAACGATTAAAATATAAAATCCTATAAAATTTTTAATTGATGTCGGTATCAATCTGTATATAAAATTTTTAATTTTTTTATAAGTTAATGTGATTTCAATAAATGTAACTTATATAGCTTAAAATAAACATGACTTATAACTTAATTTAATACACGATGTATTTAGTTTTAATTGATGTAAAAATTATATATACATAGAGAGAGAGTGGTAAATAGGTAAAGTGATTTTGATAGAGTTAAAATAGAAAATAAAAACGGAAAATTAATGCATGATAAAAATACTAAAAATAAAATAAACAAAATTATAGCCATTGTCATTGTATTTATTTCGGGATGGAAAAGAAAAATTGCATTGTCTATCAAAAAGCTCTCCAGTTGATAAGATCGAGGAGTAGGAATGTTGGACTCAAATTTGAGTCAGATTTCTGTTTCTTGAACTGATTTTAAAGCTGTTTAAATAAAACTGAATTTTAAAGGGAAAAACATTCGAGAAAGATAATGCATTGCTGTAAAAAAAAAAAAAAAAAAGAGATACAATACTCTGTCATGCTTATCATTGTAGATTATTCTATTCTTGTCTAGTAACTTGATATGAGTTACTAACACCTAATCAAAGTTTGAAATAAATTAATTTTTCAAATCATATACATAAATGTTTTGAAAATCATATTAAGAATAAAAAAAAAATGAGTATAAGTTTTTTAGTCCCCCCAAAAAAATTGGATTTTTTTAAAATTATTTTATATTTTTTATAATTTTATAAATATTTAATGTTTAAGACAAATTTAAAAATACTTCCTAATCTCGAAAAAAATTAAAATTATTTTTAAAAATAGATTGAATTATTATTAACGTATTCGAAAACTTTCAACAAAAAATAAAAAAAAATTGTTTTAAAGGAAATAATAAAGAAAAATTAAGGGTACATGGTAAAAAAAAATTATAAACAAAGAATTAAAGTACATTATATAATTATAAGTTTTTGAAAACTTAAGGGACTAAGTTTGGATACAAATTGTGAATTTTGCCAAAATTTTGGTACAATAAACTGGGTACATGAAAGAATATTTTACTCAAAAACCTATAACTAGGAAGAAGAGGATACAGGATAAGAATGAGAGAAGACTAGCTAAGGACCAAACAAGCTTCAAATGGAAGAGCTAAATACTGTTCCTAAGTGCCGTCCCATAATATATATATATATATATATATATATACACCTACCTTGGTAACATCAATTCAAGAGGAAGAAAACAACGAAGAGAAAAAAACAGAGCAGCAGCATTTCTATATTAAATGTTCTTCTAGTCACATACTAAAAAACAGCGTAAGAGTTTAGGAATTGGCTTTATTTTTAATTTTTTTTTTTTAATGCATTGAATTTTTGTTTCAACAGTAGAAATGTGACCGTTGGGTAATACTGGAGTAATAAACAAATAAGTGCTCTGCTATTATCATCCCTGTTCATCCACATGCAAGGACTATAGGTGTGGGGTCCTTTGATGCAATGCCGACCATGTATTATAAAGAGATCAACCAACCTCTCTTCCTTGTACTGTTCTTGCAATAAAGACTAGCAGCCTATTGAATCCTTCATATTTCAGACTAATTTATCATTTATAATTAGGGTATGTTCAACAATTTAATTTTCATTTTCTTAAAAAAAAAAAAACACACACACACATGTAGTCGATTAGAATTTGTGGACATAAATCTTTCTACTCATAATCACGAAATATATGATAAATTACTTTCGTAATTCAAAATATTGTCAAGTTAAAAAATATTCCAATTGATATTTCAAGTGCAATATTTTTATTTTTATTTTTTTTTGGCTAAAAGAATCAAACTTTTTCTAAATTTTAGTTCATTTGAAAATCAATCTCTGAATTTTTAATTTGTGTTTTAACCTTCATGAATTTTATTATTTATTTTTTAGTTTAGTCAATCTTATGATTTTCAATTATCACTTATCTCCTCTAAAAAATTCAATTTTTAGTATTTTGATATGAAGTTTTGTACATAGATTAAAAAAAAAAATTCAATCTATTTTCTTTAGGTTGGGAATTATATTCGTTTATTTTTTAAAATTAACAATATATAAAATAAAAAATAACCTCAAATAATCTCAAATTTTTTTATAAAGTTCCAAATAAATCTCATTGAATGATTTACATCATGAGGTTTTATTGTAATTTTTATTTGCTGGGATAAATGAAAAAAAAATTAAAGAATCGACTAAATCTAAAATAAATAAATAAATATTCAAGAAGGTCTTCAAACACAAATTAAAAGTTTAAAAGCTGATTTCTAAACAAACTAAAGTTCATGAGAGATTTGGTCTTTTTAACTATATTTTTATTATGTAAAATCTATGGATAAAATCCAATCCATACATGCAAGCTTGCAAGTATTATAAATTTTTTTTAATAGAGTAAATTATAAATTAATCTCTCTTGTTTTGAGAAATAAATTTATTAGTCATTTTCATTTCAAAAACTAATAGTCTTTTATCTTTTAATTTTGTCAATAATTTAGTCTATCGATCATTTCTCATTTTTTAAATAGGATTGTCTAACTTAGTTCATCATTTTAAACAGCTTTATCTAGTGATCATTTCTCGTTTTTAGACAGATTACCTAGCGAGTCATTTCTTATTTTTAAACAAGATTGCCTAACTTAGTTCATCGCTTTAGATAGGATTGTCTAGCGATCATTTCTCATTTTGAGACAAGCATTGCCTAACTTAGTTTATCGTTTTAGGCAAGGTTGCCTAACAATCATTTCTCTTATCTAACTTTGTTCATTGTTTTAGGTAGGATTGCCTCGCGATAATTTATCATTTTAGATAGAGTTGCCTAATCTAGTCCATCGTTTTAGGTTGAGTTATCTAGTGATCATTTCTTATTTTTAAGAAGGATTGCCTAACTTAGTTCATAATTTTAGATAGTGTTGCATAACGATAATTCTTTATTTTATGTAGGATTATGTAATCTAGTTCATCATTTTAGTTAGAATTGCCTAACAATCATTTCTTATTTTTAGGTATCATTTTAGATAAAGTTTGCCTAGAGACAATTTTCATTTTCAAGTTTTGCTTGCTATTTTGTTCATCATTTCAAGTAAGATCATCATTTCGGGTAAAGTTATCTAACAATAGACCACCAAAAAGAGTCGATTGTCCATGAGAATATAACTAATGGGGTAGGTTGTCATTAAGAACAAGATCATGTCCAATGAGAATATGACCAATAGAGTAGGTCACTTTTGAGAATATGATCATAAAAAAATATTGGCTACCTATGAGAATACAACTAACAAGGTAGGTCGTTCATGAGAACAAGACCACTAAAAATAGTCAACTCGCCCATGAGAATATGACAAATAGAGCGGGTCGCTCATGAGAACAAAACCACTAAAAATGCCCGATCACTTATGAGAACATGGCCAAAAAGGCAAGTCATTAGAAATAATTAGATTGATAATTGTCATCCAAAACTCATGTGTTTACTAGCTTATTATGCAAAGCCAATGAAAAACACTTTTTCATCCGACTTTGCAACATAAATAAAAAAGGACTAGCTATCATAACCTAATTTTGACCCATAACTCGTTTTAGATCTTTTTACAAATTTCTTTTTATATACATTATGTAAGTTTCCCACGAATTTTTATTTTTATTTTCAATATTATTTTTTTATCATTAGTTTTAATTTTTTTTAATTATATTTATCATTTTTTCCATGAATAATAAAAAAAAGAATGAAAAATTTTTTTTAAAAAAAAGACAAAACGTGAAAGCGCAAAAACAAATAAAAACAAGAAGGGAAAAAAGAAGAAGCAAACTACACATAATTCAATCCTCATTAAAAAAAAAAAAAAAAAAAAAAAAAAAAAACAAACAAACAAACAAACAAACAAACAAACCTCACTCCCAAAAGCCAACTCACCTTTGTCCTCTCCCTTCTTTTTAGCCTTCAAAATAGCCAAGAATCAAACCACCAAAGAAAGAAAAATAAATTGCACACCATCCACCCCTCACCAATAAAAATCAAAAAGAAAAAGGTTGAGATGGAGAGAAAAAGATACAAGGATGGAGAATGAAGTTAGGTCAAGATAAAAGTCAATAGAAAAAAAAAAAGGCTAACATTTTTGAAAGGTGGCTAGGTTTTTTTTTTTTTTTTAGAGAGAGAAAGGAGAGAGAG